TTTTTTTATCATAGCAAATTAGAATATAAAGAAAAAATACAATTTTAACACTAAACAAAATAAAATTAAGTCCTGCAAAGAATTTAATGAAGTCTATCTGCAAAGCAGTAATGGAAGTATGAATGAGAGTAATTCTCTAAGGCCCTACTCACTGTATTTTTTTTAAATTATGTAAAATCAGGAATACAGTATGAAAGACATGTGCCTTTGTGTATCTTATTTGAATCTTTACTTTGAAAAACTTTTTGAATATTTTTACAAGTTGGAAAAATACAGAGAATAATGTAATAAACACCCAGAATTTTGTTTTTATAACATTTATAACATTATAACATTTTGTTATATTTGCTCAGATTCTCTTTTTGTTGTTGTTGTTGTTGTTGTTGTTGTTGTTGTTGGTACTGGGGAGTGAACTCAGGGACACTCAATCACTGAGCCACATCCCAGCCCTATTTTGTATTTTATTTAGAAACAGGGTCTCACTGAGTTGCCTAGCACCTCACTTTTGCTAAGGTTGGCTTAGAACTCACCATCCTCCTATCTCAGCTGGGATTATAGGCGTGCACCACTGCATCCTCCTAACCTGAGCTGCTGGGATTATAGGCGTGCACCACTGTGCCTGGCCAAATTCTCTTTTAATAAGAGAAAGGCAATGATATCAATATGGCTGCTTTGGAATCTCTTCAATCTCCTTTCCCTCCCTGACTGTCCAAATGCAAACACTATCATGGGTATTGGGCTTTTATTTATTTTTTCATTTCATGTTGTTTTTCAAACCCATAAATATTGATATGCCAGTCAACTACAATCTAATATTCAACTACTCATTTACTAAGTTAACAAATACTACTCCTGAGTGACTGCTATGAACCAGGCAACTTGTCAGACAGTCCAGATTTAAGAGCAAACAAAACAGACGAAAAAGCCTTTCCCTGTAAAGCCCACATTACACTGGAAGTCACAATAAACAATATAAATAAATAATGTAACAATATTGAATAGTGTAACAATATTTTCAATAATATGCCAAATGCTAAGAGGAAAAAAGGGAAAGAAGGTAGGAAATGTCTCAAAGGAGCAGGGTTTGCATTTTAATAAGATGGCCAGGGAAGGTTTCATTGAGAAAAGGATGTTCTACAAAGAATGAAAGGAAATAAGGGAGCTAGCTATGTTCTAGGGGGAAAGTGTCTGAGGCAGAGGAAAGAGCAAAAACAGAATGAAATGGGCCTGGCCTGATGGGAGCAACAGTGAGGAGCCCAGAGGCCAATTCAGAGAGAGTAGCAGGAATGCGGTTTGAGAAATGAAGGGTGTTCAAGATGGGAACAAATTAAACAGATCAGAATAATAACTTTGATCAAGTAAAAATACCAACTCATCCACTGCTTTATCAATGGACATTTAAGTATTTGAGACTTGATGCAATTAAAACAAGGCCACAATGACTGACACTATATATTATGTAAGAAATTTTCTAGTTTGACACATGTGAAATGGAGTAATTGTTAGTGTAAAATCAAGTAATTATGAGGTATGCACATCAGGGTGCTCTCCAAGTTGGTTGTAAGCAATTCACACCTCCATCAGTTTATAGAGGGTTCCTGTTACTACACACTCAGTACCAAAACTCTGGACCCTCAGTCTCTTTAATTTTTGCCAATGTGAAGGATCCCAACACTATTGCATTGCTTTATTTACTCATCTATAGGTGGGTCTTTCTCTTAGAGGCCCTCTATTTTTCTCTGTTGGTTTCATTTTTCTATCTTTGTACCAATCCCCCACAAGTCTAATTACTAGGAAACAGATTTTCAAGTTTCTTATTTCTACTAGCCAATCAGGGTTTCTTATATGAAATTATTTGTTTCACTGGCCCTTTTTCTACTGGGTTTTTATTTATTCTAGGAGTTCTCTGCATATTCGCAATACAATCCTATCAATTATATATAAATCCTATTAGTTATATAAATTATTGATGAACAAATGATCTCCTCCTGCTTATTTCATTCATATCTTTTATGTACATAAGTTTTTAAGTATGATGTAGAAAATTATATCAATGTGGTTTATTTCACGCTGATTTATACATTGTGTGTTACTTAAGAAATCCAAAGGCACACCTATCACTTGCAGATATTACCTCTCAATTGCTACAGTCCCTCCATGCTCTCCAGGACACCTCATGCTGGCACACACACATTCTTAGCCTCTCACAGCTACTGCCAAATCCCCATAGTGGTAGTGGAATTGAAGCACCCCCTTTCCTATTCTTGATAATTTCATCCAGCACTTTTACATATAAATACACATCCCATATATTAATTTTCACAACAATATATAGTATTACTGGCTCAATGTAAAAATACAAAAGAAACCTACCTTTGGCCAAGTGCTCTTCAGAATAATGGCTCTCTTTCCATCACCAAGTGCATTTCTAAACAGAAAAAGAAAAAATAAAATATTTAAACATCTCCATTCTTTTATTTTTGTAAAAGTACTGTATATTGCTATCTATTTTATGTTCTGAATTTTCCATGTATATCATTTAGTCAAATAATAATTTTTTAAAATCCACAAAATATACGTCCATTATAGGAAATTTGGAAAATACAGAAAAGTAAAACAAAGGGGAAAAGTCACCCAGAGTCACAATCACAACAACCCAGGAATAAGTATTTTCAGCATTTCTGGAGTATTTCCTGCATATATCGTATCAACATCTTACCTATGCATAACTAAAATTTTGTATATTTGCGTGCAATAATTTTGCCTTTCAATAATAGCCAAAATTTTAACTCCCAGGTCTTGTTAGCTAAGCTATACGAACAGAGCATGCATTCCTGGACAGAAGGCCTAAGTTAAGTCCAATTCAACTGCTAATTCTCCTGGGGCCTTAAAGAAGTCATTAATATCCCTGAACCCACCTTCTCAACTGTAAAATGAAGATAATAATTCTTTCTTTTCTAGCTGTTTTGAGGTAGATGCTAAGTTAGAAAATGTAAACATCAGTATATGCATACTCAGTCTCTCAGTTGCCTGGCTTACCTTCAACAACCTCCCATACCTCAACTCAGTCATCTACCATCACACCCCTTTGGCAAAACTTAGCATCACTCAGAACTATCAAACTCCTAAATCCACTTGTGAGGGCATCCAACTCTTACCGGTTAAACTATTTCCTACTATCTTCTCAGGGGGTCTAACTCATTGATTTGCCTGCTTTCTCTTTTTCCTACTCCCCTATTTATCTGGTTTAAAATTCACTGGTTTATCATTTTGTATTCACACATATTAATTCATTATTCTTAAAAAGAGATTATAAAGAAGACCAAAACTAGGTATCATACCACCAGATATCAATTCCTAGTAAAAGGCTATATACGAAAAAGAAAAAAAAATTAAAATGTAAGACAACTTAACCAACAGAAAACAAAAGAGAAACCAGAAATGGATTTGACACAATCACCTGATTTATGACAAAGTGACACTGCAGTGCATGGAGAAAATAATACTTTTTTAAGAAATGGTGCTGGGTCAATTGGACATTCATATGAATTTTGAACCCTACCTCACATGAAATACAAAAATCAACTTCAGAAGGCTTGCAGATCTAATTATCAAAGTTAAAATTGTAGAAGAAACAGAGTGGTGGCTTTAGAGTAAGCAAAGACTACAAACAAAAAGCACTTACCATAAAGGAAATAATTAATAGAACCTACTATATTAAAATTAATAACTTCTCAGTGAAAACATCAAGAATGAAAAGGTACTGAGAAGACATCTGCAACACAAGTCTGACCAAGGACTCATCCAGAATACAAAACAATACAAAAAAACTCCCACAAATGAATAAGACATTCAACCTAGGAAAAATAAAAATCGAGCAAAAGACCATGAGAATATCCAAATAGTCAATAAGCATATGGAAAAATACTCAACTTAAATATCCTTACTTGAATTATAGAAATGCAAATTAAAATTACAGTGCTATATACTCCCACCAAAATATCTAAAATGAAAGATGCAAAATGATAAGTGCTGGTGAGGACATGGAACTGAAATTCACATGTTGCCAGTAAGACCATAAAGTGATAAAACCACATAGGAAACTATGCATTAAGGCTAAATACAAGCATACCTTCTGTCCCAGCAATTCAAGTCCTCGATTATACACTTTAACAAAAATGGATACATACATTTACAACACTATCTGTAAAAGCCAAATACTAGAAACTACCAAAATGCCCATCGACAATAGAATGGATAAAACATGGTATATTCATGCAATAGATGAACACTTTACAACTACATGCAACAATATGGATCTCAAAAAGAATGCTGAAAGTCAAACACAGAAGAGCACATAGTATGCAATTCCATTTATAATTGCACAAAGACAGGCAAAACTAACCTCTGGAAGTCAGAACAGTAGTAATACAGGGGAAGGACTTGGGTAGTGACTGGAAGGAGAAACAAGGGGGGACTTCTTAGGTACTGGGTCTGTGATGTGGGTGGTTTCAATTGTTTGGTCTCTGAAAACATGTATTAGGATCTTAAAAAAAAAAAAAAAAACAAACCTACAAAGAAAAACTCTTTTTTTTCTGTTGGAGACCGTTATCTGGTTTGATGTCTGAGCCACAATGGCCACTCTGCTATCCTGAAGGGACAGCCCACTGACCAAGTGACACTCTAAGGCTGGAAGAAAACAGGTCTCTGATTACACTGTTCAATAATCTTAGAACCACCTTCTTTTTGAACTTGTGAATGAGATTGTTTTCTTCACCATTTACACTATTTGCCTCAGTTTGTTTTGTGAAGCCCAAAATATCTTAATCTAATGGCACACCTCTTAAGCTTCAGTCTCTCCCCCAGCAAGTTTACAAGTTACCTACGCTAGCTGTCTCCATTTCTTCTCACTTTATTCAACTCACTCCAACCACCTTCTGTTCCAAGACTCCTACTAACAGATCTACTAGTAAATGATGTTCATGTTGCTAAACCCAAATTCCATTGAAATAACTAGCTTCTCAGCAGCCACAGACTCCCCTGGCGACTCTCTCTCACTTCTATGACACCACACTTAGTTTCCTACCTACCTCCCCAGCCACTTCTTAATAGTCTCCTAGATAGGTTTGTCCTTCTCTGGACTGATTATTTGTGTTACTCTAGTCTCAGACCTGCTAAAGGCCAGCAGGTCTCAAACTTGTTTACACATTAGTACTATCAGAGGAGATTCTGAAAGCCCAATGCCCAAACTTGACCCTAGATCAGCTACACCCTAGCATCTTTGGGTAATCTTTCTTCAGAGCTCAAATGATTCCATTGTGCAATTCAAATGGAGACCTTCTTCCCTAGCAATCTCACCCATATCTACAACTTCAAATCATCTAGGTCAACTATCCCAAACATGAGTTCCACACCCACAAAACTCACTGCTATATGATATACTAACATGGATGTGTCACATGCACTTTAATTTAATTTGAAGTCAAATTCTACCTCCAATAAATGTATTCATCTTCCAGTGACTGACCAATGTCATGAATGGGCCCAGAAACCATAAGACAAAACCTTAAACCAATTCTAATCATTGCCTTCTCCTTCAAATCCCTACACCAAACCACAGACAATGTCTGTCAACTTTCTCTCTAAAGTACCTTGAATCCTTCCACTTTTCCACTTCCACTACCTTTACCCTGCTCCAAGCCATCATCATCTCTGACCTGCAGTCCTACAACAGACCCCCAACCCACTTCCATACCGTATCCCCCTCAAATCCATTCTCCCCATTGTACTAATGGTGCTGTCTCCCCTTACTATAAAATCCTTTACTTTTTTCTCACCACTTTTAAAAGCCAATAACCTTGACGTAGCCTACAAGGTCTAGTGCCAGATTACTTCTCCCTCTCCTTTGTCTTCAGGCCACCTGGGACACTATCAGTTCCACAAATGCAACACAGCCCTTCCCATCCCAGGCCTTCACATTTCTGGCCCACTGTTAATAACACAAGAACTATGTGTTTTTGCTAATTTCTGACATCAGCCAAGATTTTTCTGAAAGAATCCCAAGAATTTGTTGAATCAGGGTTGAATGCTACTTTTAAATTAATGCTATGACTACAATTGTATTACATTAATATTACAATTGTACCATATACTATAAATATCCAAATTTTTACTAAAATATGAATATATATTGACTATAAATTTTCACATTTACTACCATTGTGGCCAGATCCTACTATTAAAGCAAAGTGAGCGTAGTAAATCACATGGGGCTACGGCTCATCCAAACCAGTGCAACCCTAATCACTCTGGTGAATGGGTGAGACTTTGGGCAACAGAAATACCGTGCAACATACATTGATGACAATGGGAAGATACAGTTATTTACTATTGGAAACTATGTAACATGGTCAGAATACTAGATAGAGGGTAACAACCTATTCTAGCTCAGGCACTCTAATTACTACTAAATAGGAAAGTATGTTTCTTTCTCCAACTACCCTACTACCTCATGTACACAATATGCTTCATTTTGCCCTAAAATAACATTAGGAAAGAGTACCTATTCTCTCTTCCAATTTCCATGATGTTTTGCTAATTACTCGGGAACACTCCTCTCTCTACCCCTAAACGTTTCCCAGGGGTGGGCATGGGAGGCACTAATTATATGTGGCTTAGTCTCTTTTTTCTCACTCTGAGACCTTAAAAAAAACTGACAGACACCAGATCCCCTTTTCTTCCAGACTTAAAGTTAACAGGATCCTAGTTTGCCAGTTCCATTCATGACTGTTTCTGAATTAATAACAAGTCACTTAGCTACCAGACTTAAGGCTCCTTATCCTAATGATTCTATCAGAGATGAAGGTGACAGTGACTAAAAGAAGCCCATTTTCTGCAATCATCTCTTAACTAATTCTAGACTTGGGTGCAGAACAGATGCTATTTACTGACTCTCTAAGTACAACATGTAAATACAAGAATTTTGTGAGCCACAGGCTTTCTCCCCTTAGTCTCATTTCTCAACAAAGAAATAATACCTATTTCACAAGTTTCTTAATGTTACCACTAAACTACAAAAGCAGGATTCAGATGTAAGAGTCACTGTCAAATATGGTGATTAATAATCATTAGTTGAATAAGCATATACATTTTGAATCAAAAGTTAGTATCTGGTCAGGCACAATGTCAAATGCCTATAATCCCACATGCTCAAGGCCTGGCTCAGAACTAGCAAGACCCTATGTCAAAATAAAAAAATAAAAAGAGCTGGGGATTGGAGCTCAGTGGCAAAGCACCCCTGGGTTGAATCCCTAGTATTTTTTTTAAAAAAAAGCATCTGAATTTAAAATTATATATGCTCTTTAAGTAACAGAAAGTTATCAGGAATTTATCCTACAGATATACTTGTACCTGGATATACAGCATAAG